ACATATTCTTCAAAAATGAAATTTATTAAAGATATGTCCAGACCGTTACTATTATTTGTCCAAACCGTTACTAGAGACTGTTTGTTATGATACTACATCAAAACTCCTTTGAACAGTAAAATTCCATGCTTAAACTTATCTTAACCCTTAAAGTAATTATAAATTTGTTATATTTCAAATAGTAATGAACAACTTTTTGAAATACAAATCATTTTGTCCAGACCGTTACAAGGACTGTCCAAACCGTTACTTTGCAGAATGGTAACGGTTTGGACAGTAACGGTCAAGACAATTTGTAAGTAAATCTAAAATAAAGAAATGAATGATCCCTAAAAGATTTCAAAGGACATGCCTTCCACCTCTTCCATTTCTGGGCAACATATCCATTGAAATGTAAAAAACAAAGAGATATATTTGACACAAAAAATACATTGGTAGCGGTCTGGACAATTAAGGTTGACACATAACATTTATACTTATTTGATGGTGTCAATTTTCTGCAAAATGTGAAATAATTTCATTATTTCTTTTGCTGTCACATCCACAGGGACTAGCTCAAGCAGACACAGGTAGTAGAATTACAATCCAGCTCCAGGGAAATTATTGCAGGAATTTCATACACTGGTAACGGTCAGGACACAAAAATGACAGGACAAGCATGTTACAATTTGTAGAAAAACTTTTTTAAGTAAAAAAAAAAATTAAATGCAGTTTGAGTATGCCTGTTCAATCCTAACTGGCATAATATGAATTAGTTTGTTTATTTGCATTTATATTTACCTTATTTGTGAACATTGATGTCAGGACCGTCACCTCCGGACAGAGCAAATCTGCCAATTTTGATCCTAAAATGTGGCTAAATATAAATTTCAAAATCACAAGACTAATGATATACCACATTTACTGACTAGTAAACTTCTAAATATGTTTTCTAGCACAAAAAAATCGTTTTAAGTTAACAGATTTTTTTTTTATTTGGAATGACAGAAAATCCTACCAATTTTGAAAATGACCCATATACGTAGCTTAAGTTAATTATACCTTAAGCATAGTACTATACTCATATTATAAAAAAATATATTAGCTAACAAACTCTACGGAGTTTTGCTATTATATAGGTAGCTTAAGTTAATTATACCTTAAGCATAGTACTATACTCATATTATAAAAATATATTAGCTAACAAACTCTAAGGAGTTTTGTTATTATATAGGTAGCTTAAGCTTATTCATATCTTAAGCTTAGTACTATGTTTATATCATATAAGTAGATTAGCTAACAAACTCTAAAGAGTTTTTGCTATTTGGCTAAAGTGTCATCATATTTCTAAGCAATATGGTTATATTATAACATGTATTAGCTAACAAACTCTACAGAGTTTTTTGCTATTATATATGTAACTTAAGCTTATTCATATCTTAAGCGCAATACTATGTTTATATCATATAGGTATATTAGCTGTCAAAACTCTAAAAGAGGTTTTTGCTATTATATATTTGGCTTAAGTTTCATCATATTTTAAGCTTTATGGTTACATTATAACATGTATTAGCTAACAAACTCTACAGAGTTTTGCTATTATATAGGTAGCTTAAGTTAATTATACCTTAAGCATAGTACTATACTCATATTATAAAAATATATTAGCTAACAAACTCTAAGGAGTTTTGTTATTATATAGGTAGCTTAAGCTTATTCATATCTTAAGCTTAGTACTATGTTTATATCATATAAGTAGATTAGCTAACAAACTCTAAAGAGTTTTTGCTATTTGGCTAAAGTGTCATCATATTTCTAAGCAATATGGTTATATTATATTCGACGGAGTTTTGCTATTATATATATATAGCTTAAGTTTAATCATATCTTAAGCTCAGTACTATGTTTTTAACATAAAAAGTATATTAGTTAATAAACTCTAAGGAGTTTTTTTTTTGCAATATACATTTAGCTTAAGTCTAATCTTATCTTAAGCTTAGTACTATGGTTACATTATAAACATATTAGCTAATAAACTCTACATAGTTTTGGGCTATTGTATATGTAGCTTAAGTTAATTATATCTTAAGCACAATACTATACTCATATTGTAAAATATATTAGCTAACAAACTCTACGGAGTTTTGCTATTATATATGTAGCTTAAGTTAATTATATCTTAAGCACAGTACTATACTCATATTGTAAAAGTATATTAGCTAACAAACTCTACAGAGTTTTGCTAATATATATGTAGCTTAAGTTAATTATATCTTAAGCACAGTACTATACTCATATTATAAAAATATATTAGCTAACAAACTCTACAGAGTTCGGCTATTATATATGTAGCTAAAGCTTATTCATATCTTAAGCTCAGCATTATATCTATATCATATAAGTATATTAACTAACAAACTCTAAAGAGTTTGCTATTATATAATTAGCTTAAGTTTAATCATATCTTAAGCTTAGTACTATGTTTATATCTTAAAGTATTTTAGCTAACAAACTCTAAGGAGTTTATACTAGCATATTAACAAGCTTAAGTCTATTAGTCTTAAGCATTGTATTAATGTTATATATACTTTATCATAATAAGTACATGGTAATAACCTTTATATGGCAGCTGATAAGTTAGCAGCAGGAATTCATCAGTTCAGTGCCTTTATGAAGTTCCCATAGGGTTATTACAATCATCACAGTTCAAATCACTAATTATTAAAAATCCAAAGTATTAGATATTCCCACCTCCGTTCCGTAGGATTCTACAAGCAAAAAGAGCATGAGTCAGGATAAGGAAAATATGTAATTTTTGGAGTAAAATTGATATTTTATACTTATCCTGACTCATGAGGTCAGCCCTCCCATCCTCCCCACATAACACTTTGGATTTCCCTGTAAATTCAAATGTTGGGCTCAGTATATGAGGAGAGAGTGAGGCACATGGGTAGAGGTGGCGCCCTCGTTCCCGCGCTTGTGGAAAGGAGGTAACTCGTGGTGAGTACTAATTAGTGATTTTACATTGAAGGGAGCTTCAATTAGGGAGATACAAGTGTTCCACTATGTTCGCAAGAAGAAGAAGACAAGCAAAAAGAGCATGAGTCAGGATAAGTATAAAATATCAATTTTACTCCAAAAATTACATTTTTTACCAGTAATTTGTAATTATATATTTATTTCTTAATGGCGTCCAGCATATCTTCAGATGTGCAGTGCAAATGAAAATTTAAAAAAAACATCACAGAAAAACATGTTTTAGAAAGAGGTGATTTTTGCGAAGCTGCTGCCTCTATTAGATCATTACCTTAAATCCTGTATTTTTGCAATCACACTAAATGTAAATTTTCAAATTTCCAAGAGATGTCATCTTCACAGTCAACTACACATTTGAGGATTTACTGTATGTTTTTGGCTCATTGTGATGTGAATTGGAAAAAACATGTGCTAACTGTATGAATCTAGTACCCAGCGTTGACAATACCACAGCAGTATCTTACATTCAGAAACAATGGGGGAAACATGTACCTTCCTATGATGGTATCGTCTCAACTACTATTCTACCGTGACTTCAGTAAACACTGGATTGTGATTGGTTAATTAAAGTCATTCAGAGGTATATAATCACGTTATACAGGTCTCTGTTTTCCGTGCACAATCATACATGGTTTACGGTAATGCACTATTTTGTCTTCCCACTAACATGGTGGACACCAAACAACCTACCGATGCATCGATAAATTACGGCAATTTTACTGTCGGAAATTACACATATGTCTTTAAAGATGGATTTAGCAATGACTGGCTCGACTCACTACTTGCGTAAATCATAGCAATAGGTGTTTATACATACAAAAGTACTTCGAAAGCATGGAAACAAATATTCAGTCGAACAAGATCAAAACATCGTCTGCTTTCCGAATAAAAATTCAGCAAAAACAAATATGTTTACGTTGATTCTATGTTATGTCAGAATAGATCCAGCAATAGACTGCTACATAATTTCCGTGTTAAATTTATTATCAGCTTTCGTCAACGATATCGCCACTGATCTTGATCCGGTAACGGAGGATGCATTAACATCGAACGCAGTTGGGTTATCAATTCAAACAAAATTATATTTTGAAATTTGTACTGTATCAAATTTAGCGCTAGTAAAACACAATTACAGAATCTGCAAACCGTTCTGTTTAGCCCAACATATTTTTTTTCTAAAAGAATATTATCGTTGATAAAGTTATTTAGCTTAGTCATGATCCCTCTTATCCATTACACTGCTTGATCTAAAGTAGTCTATTAAAGTATAATTGATTACCTTACCGTGTTTATGCCAGAGGTACTACCTCGTGTCCTGATCCATCTTTTCTGAAATATCACCACAAATCTGGCTCTTTGTCAACAGACTCGCGAAAATGCCAGCGAATCCGATTCAATTTGAATTCACTACACTTTGAAGCCACTAGGTCACAAAACACTTTCCAAAATGTAGAAAATAAAGAGAAAGAGCTCCACCTGAAATTGTTCATAAAATTGTCATGGTAAAATGGAGATAAACCTACTGTGTTGGAAAATCAGAGGTATATAACGAAATTATAATAGGTCTAAATTGTCCCACTTAGTGCTGTGCTGTGATGAACATGCAATAGAAACATTACAAACAGCAATGACTGGACCAGGTAGATGAAGACAAAGAACACCCCATGCTAACTTACATAACCACATTAGCTGGGGATACGTAGAGAGTGCTTACCAGATATTTAATTTTACAGAGCTGCTGAGGTACTTAACTAAATCTACCCAAGCTTAAAATACATCAGTTACAGTACACAATAGCTACATGCTGCTATGAATATGTACATCAGCAGATGATTTGAGCACTGCTTCAACTTATTTCTTTTGGAAAAACTGTAGATTATTGACTATTGACAATATCATGTCATGGACTTAATGGCAAGTCATCAATTAAGGTCAAAAGTAGAGGAGATCTGGATGTATGTGAAGATGAACATCCTTATTTCCAGGCCCAAGTGTACCAGGAGTTCTTCTCCCAAGGGGACTTAGAGAAGGCAGTTGGAAAGGACCCAATAGAAATGATGGACAGAGAAAAGGCCTGTATCCCAGACCTGCAGATCAACTTCCTTGATGGCATTGCATTGCCAGTCTACAGGTGAGACATTCTGTGGAGCTGGTAGTTACACTTCCAAATCCTTTTTTTTCCATTTCATCCCCAGTGAAAGAGGGGTCCGGAAAGAGGAATGGGTGCTGTCCATTCCTTTTGTCCCTCTCATTTAGTAACTTTGTTAAATATTGTATCTTTAACCATGATTGACATTGTTTGACATATACTATAAAGAGAGAATTGTTGAATTAGCAAAACAGTAGGAGTCTTAAAGGTCACATGCTACGTAAAACACAACTTTGCAGATTCGGATACCTTTCGGTATGGACATACCGAAACAAATCGTCAAAAATGCAAATTCAACTTATAAAGTTGAAAAATAACGCGATGAAAAAAAACGCGCGAAATCGGGAGTTCAAACGTTTCACTAATTTTCCCCAGACTTTTGTGCTTTTAAAGCTGGACTCATCAGTTGCAATGCAACTTGTGCTGTCTTTACATTAGCACTATAAATATTCTCTGGTAGGCAGCTTTTGTATGTTATGGAAAAAACTTTTACTTTTCATTTGTCAGTTTCAAAACAGCTTTTACCGAGTCACTTTCTCAGCGATACTAAAAGCAATGTTACATTTAGAGTTGACACAATTTCAACTTTATAGATATGTTGCTGTTACAGAAACTCAATGTCTTGTTTTATTGACACCTGTGTGTCATTCTGCTAATGACAATATTCAAAACTGCAATCACTGACCACATGCAATTTGAACTTAAGTAATCAGGCTATACACCATAATTTATTTATGGCCCGAGCACTGCATCAATGATGCATCCGGCAGGTGTGATACTTGAACACATGACATGTTATGATGTCAGTTGATTGCAAAATGTTATACACAAAAATGAGCATGTATTTACAAAACCCAACTTTCTATATATACACACACAATGAGCCGTGGAAGGCGTATCTGCTAATGAACCAGCCGTTAAACATGCAACCCACCCGCTAGCAAAATCAGTTTTCGAGGACAAGTACAAAATATTCCACTTTTGATTTCTGATATAAGTGCTAATGTTGTTTATTTGTTTTTCAAAGATCAGAACCATATATATGTCATGAAGAATAATTTGTTTTAATTATGATGGTTGCATGTGACCTTTAAGCTTAGTGTTAGCAAGATTGAACCAATATTCAAGAAATTTTGATGTTTAAAGTTTAAATAGTTTCCTGAAAGCTATGCAGGGGACATATTTATATTTAATAAAAAGAGACATATCATCATGATTCTCATAATGAAACTTCTAATATTTGTTCCTTAGATTATCTTTGACTGACAGGAGCATGTAAAAATTCAGTTGGACGAATACATCTTGTGTTATGTTAATCCAGACTACATATGTCTTGCCTTAGGGACCTGTGAAGATCCAGGTTAGAATTGATCTTCAGTAACCCATGCTTGTCATAAGAGTGACTAACGGGATCAGGTGGTCAGGCTCACTGACTTGGTTGACACATGTCATCGGTTCCCAATTGTGTAGATCGATGCTCATGCTGTTGATCACTGGATGGTCTGACCCAGACACGCTTATTTACAGACCGCCATCGTATAGCGGGGACACTGCTGAGTGCGGCGTAAAACTAAACTCACTCAATCTCTCTTGCCTTAGGCTAATGTGTGAGCATAGAGATGGAACCCAGCAATTCAAATCTCAGTTTATGAATTTGGAGGTAAAGAAAAATTTGTATTGATGTAAATAGTAGAACTTGTTTTTCTTTACCTTTCTTCATTGATCTCCAAGTAAGAAAATCAGTTGGAAAGTTCAATGTTTACAGGATTCTGGAGAAACTTTTCTCTGAGTGTAAAGAAGTTCATGAAGCTGTGGAAAAGAACAAACTGAAATGGGTTCGTATTGGCCAGCTCCTGAAGATGCGCCGAGGAACCAGCACCCAGGGTTTAAGCATGGAACAGATCCTCACTCTGGAGGATGACGAGGAAGAGGTTAATGAGCAGCATAATGGCAGATAGATCTCAAGCCTCATTCATATCCAGTCCATATCCGAACATATGTTATGAAGAAAGACCTCTTTCCTCTTCATGAAAGTTGTTGGTACAGCAATGATTGGGTAGTCTGCATAGGTGTGTCGACGATGTGGAGGGACGGAAGTGCTGTGTGTATGTGTGATCAGGCATCTAATGCTAACAATCCATGGGTGATACTGTGAAGCGTTATGCTTCCAACTGATATTAATTAGTGCTATTCATATCCTGCCTGTTTCAGTGTGGCTACTGTCAGGGAAGAGGAAGGAGGGTCCGGATGTCTCTATGATACTTCTTAATTTGCAAATGTCGAAAATTTACTATTTTCCATTAATCTGATAACATGTATGCAGACAAGAATTTGATATTTTCTTGCCAGGGCTTCAATATTTTTGAGGATGTTGAAATGAACCAGATTAAAAATCAACAAAATGAAAATGAACATCATAGAGACCCAAGTCCTACTGTTTACTTCTAGCGCATTTTTTGTTTCGCGCAACTGTGCCTTGCTGTGCAGGAACTTTCTTGCATGTTATCCCAGACTGTTCTCATCAGGGCAAGAGATATGATCTCAGTAGAAGACTGTCTCACGTCACACTGCCAGACACACTGTGTTGGTTGTACAGTGTCCACCTGACTGGGAGATCCATGCAGTGGTAGGAATCTTTTTTCTGGTGCTTCAATAGTTCACTGTAACTTGTGAAATAGAAAGCCTCTATACAGACAGGAAAGGAATGAAGTCTTTTTGTTTTCTTTTTTCCATAGTGTAATGTACTCATTATTAAGTTTGCTGAAAACAGCATGAAGCAGCTTTCAGATAATATTCCTAGGGTGTACAGTAACATATTCTCTCTGCGACATTGTCAAATTACCATTGAAATGTATGGTCATTATTCTCACTGTACAAGAACCTTGAAATATTTTCTAAAGCCGTCATGAATATCATTTTGAGGACATTCCCAGTGTACCATATGTACATGGACTCTGCAAAAATGAAAACATTTGTAATCACTTGTATCGGATTGCAACAGCTGAAAGTTCCTTATTTACTTCTGTTTGACTTCAAAGATATTTAAGATACATATTCCAGCTGATGTGTCACTGTGATACCTTGACTGTTACGATATGGATGGCCTGTGCTAAATCCAGGCATTTATCTTGGTGCTTAGAGTTATCTCCGTTATAACAGCAGTTGTTCTCTTGTCCTCAACACAGAATGATGGAATTGAAGTCTAAGGAAGTGAAAACAGGCAACATGTCTGTTTGTTAGGCTTCATGGTATAAGATGAAGTTGTTTGCTTCAACAAGACTATTTTGTTATTGATGATGTTATTTCTTACAATTCAAAGTTTCCTAGCATTGTTAGAGTTGTGTTGGTTTTTTAAATACATGTCTTTCTCACTGCATTTCAGCTGAATGTTGCATCACAAACCATTTGGTTAGTCAGTATTGTAGTGATGTGTATCTATGCTGATACAGCATGTCTAAGCTAGCAGTATCATTCATGGTAACCTGCTTCTAGCAAGCATATCAGTATCACGTGGGACATCAACAGTAGTGAAAGTGTCAGATCATTAGTGGATCGTGTTATTTCTTGTCAACTAGTCAGCTGTTTTCAAGAATATTGGTGAAAGAAACTGATCTGATTGAGTTTGTTTATTTGGCTTGTTTATATACAAAACTTTCATGTAGTTTGCGATGCAACATGAACAAAGTACCTGTGCATTTCATCAACTTGTTATGCTATTTCTGAAGATTGTTGTACAAATGTAGATATTTAGACAAGGATGCATTGTTAGGGTAAACTTGTAACCATGCAAGCAACTGCAGAATGTGTGTTTGCCTGTCTTTGCCAATGAGATATTGATATTTTAGACAAATCAAAGATATTCTTGTATAACAAGTCAGAATACTCGTAGGTGTCAATGTTCATCATCAGCATCTGATTAGTATGTTTTAGTCAGTTATGAAACCAAGTGGTTTCACCAATATATATTTTACATATCAATTACTTGCTTGATGAAATTGACAGTGAATTGTGATTCTGTGTTAGATAGCTATTCTAGATTCTACATGTGATTGCTCCAATTTAAACTATCCCTAATTGTTAAAGCCTAGATAATTATTTTTTTTGCTGTGTCTAAGGGTTAGCAGTTGCTATGACTTCATTTACTATTTCTTAGCAAACTGTTATTTGTCAGTTCTATTGGATTCCAATATTGTTAACGGTAATACATGTTAGTCTAAAATAATGGTTATTTGTGATCAATTGCCAGACAGTAAAATGCTGGTTATTCTATAGCCATCCATACAGATAGAACATGAAATATATGATCAAGGCAACCTCACCATTTCATAATTTGAAAAATCATCTTGTTAATAGCAGACATACAAATAACTTGATCCAGACATGACTACAGATATCCATGTCATGCTTAACAAAACGGGTTTAATGACAAGAAGAATCTCCTCCAGAATCATTGTCTGGACTGATCAGCACAATGATGTGTAGTCACGATTTACAATGCTGTTGTTTCAGTGCTATGGGATCATTTTGATGTTTAGAATTATACACTGCTGTATGTTCACATTGTCATAATTTCCTTTTTATATATTTGTTACCTTTTATTATCTGTGATACAGCTATGTTGGATCCACAAGTCCATCTGTTTGGATGATATTTGGACATACAATTAAATTTTCAGGACCGGAATATTGGGTAGATTTACAACCACGATCTCTAAGATATAATAAACCATATTCTCTTTCAACAGTCTGAAGTCAAACACAAAGGGCTGGTTCTGATTTGATTTGTGATAGACTCTGATATTATGGTAATTTGTTAGAATTACATCTTGTACATATTTTCAATACATGTATATCATTAGCACATTCACCGCTTACATCAAGTCAATACCATTTGTGTTGTGTTCAAATGTCATCAGAAGTAATTCTTACGTATTTGAGATGTTCATGATATTAATCAGATATATGGTGCATAATTATGATAGCAAAAATATCTGTGTGTTATGCCTCATCTTAGTTGCAGCAGTATATTCTGGCAGCTGCACTTGTAACTCTCAACTACTTCCAGCAGATACACCTGTATGACATTTCTAACAGGGAGAGATCAAACCGATACACCTGTATGACATTTCTAACAGGGAGAGATCAAACCGATACACCTGTATGACATTTCTAACAGGGAGAGATCAAACCGATACACCTGTACAACATTTCTAACAGGGAGTGATCAAACCGATACACCTGTATGACATTTCTAACAGGGAGAGATCAAACCGATACACCTGTATGACATTTCTAACAGGGAGAGATCAAACCGATACACCTGAATGACATTTCTAACAGGGAGAGATCAAACCGATACTCCTATACAACATTTCTAACAGGGAGTGATCAAACCGATACACCTGTACAACATTTCTAACAGGGAGAGATCAAACCGATACACCTGTACAACATTTCTATCAGGGAGAGATCAAACCGATACACCTGTACAACATTTCTAACAGGGAGAGATCAAACCGATACACCTGTGCAACATTTCTAACAGGGAGAGATCAAACCGATACACCTATACAACATTTCTAACAGGGAGAGATCAAACCTATACACCTGTACAACATTTCTAACAGGGAGAGATCAAACTGATACACCTATACAACATTTCTAACAGGGAGAGATCAAACCGATACACCTATACGACATTTCTAACAGGGAGTGATCAAACCGATACACCTGTACGACATTTCTAACAGGGAGTGATCAAACCGATACACCTATACAACATTTCTATCAGGGAGAGATCAAACCGATACACCTGTACGACATTTCTAACAGGGAGAGATCAAACCGATACACCTGTACAACATTTCTATCAGGGAGAGATCAAACCGATACACCTGTGCAACACTTCTAACAGGGAGAGATCAAACCGATACACCTGTATGACATTTCTAACAGGGAGAGATCAAACCGATACACCTGTACAACATTTCTATCAGGGAGAGATCAAACCGATACACCTGTACGACATTTCTAACAGGGAGAGATCAAACCGATACACCTGTACAACATTTCTAACAGGGAGAGATCAAACCGATACACCTGTATGACATTTCTAACAGGGAGAGATCAAACCGATACACCTGTACCTAATGACCACTATCGTCAGATACAGATGTGCTGCAGCCCTTAACCACTTTAGCAGATAATGATCCACCCCATTACAATCACCTCAAGCCGATGCAGCCACAAAATGTTGTAATATTTTGAAGTAAAATACATTTTACACCAGGAAATAGTTTGAGGTCCCTGTATCCAGTTGTATAAGGACTGCTCGTGAAGTACGTCTCTGAAATTCTACACTGGTTTCAGTCCTATTCTCTATGATTGACTTTGTAATTTTTCCATTCCAACTTCGTCTTGCTTTTCAAAAACCTGAGTGCTGACTCTGTTATCATATCATGTGGGATCATGCCGGCTATCCAGCTTCACACAAGGGTATCAGGAGTCCCAGTTTATCAGTATACAGTATTTGGAGGTAAACAACTAAACCAATAAGGTCGGCATGCAGCTCTCATAGGCTCATCTATAAAATGCTGGTTGTTTTCTCAGAAATATTCCAAGTATTTGATCTGTTAAAGACACAATTCACCATGTGTAAAATGCTTAATTTCTTATACAATCAAAATGTTTCAATAAAATGTGGATACAGTTGTGTTGAAATAGACAAAGAATCTGTTCTAACACCAAAAATATGACTTGATTAACAGTGACAGTTTGTTTTTAATAGGCGCCAAGTATTTAACAGAAGCATGTGGAAGATAAGTGTCTTCCTGTTTCTGAGTTTGGCAATATAGCATTCACTTGTGATCTAAGGTCCATGTTTGATTCCAATGGTTCTGGTTCTTCAAGCTAACCCCACCACTAAATATTGCTGGAATATTGCTAAATATGGATTAAATCACATCTTACTGGCTCATTCCTGCTGGATTAAATACTACGTTTGACTCCATTAGAAGATGTAACTGCCCATCATATCATGTCACTGTTGAGTTCATTTGCTCAACTTGAGAGGACAACCATGCTACAGACCAGCTAGATAACACATTTTACTATAAATACAAACAATGTATCCCATATAATATGAGCACCAGTCTAGTGACACTGTCATGCTCAGGGATCTGTAATGAAATCCCTCACAAAGCTCATTACACATCATTACGAATTTGTGTACAGATTTCCGTGAAGGGCCCTCACTGATTATAGTCATGAATATATCTGTTGAAACACATACCATGAAGTAATACCTGCAATATTGACAATATACAATCATATAAGTCTCATGTGTATCAAACAATACCTTTTCAAATGGAAAGTTTATTACAATCATTACTCCAACCACTGTTTTTGACATATGATCATTGTGTTCAGTAAGCATATCCTATTATTGTTTTTCCCTGTTGTTGAGTTTTTCTTTTAACCTCTAACTAATTTTAGATTATTTTCTCTGTTCGGGTAATCATTACAACAATAAGTTCCATGTGTTTTCATTGTACAAATTTTATGTCCAGACTATAGTAAGCAATGTGTATTGGCTTACAGCCATTCTTTACATGGCTTGATCGTTTTATTTTCAGGGATTGTTTTAGGATTGGAAAATAAAATGCAAAACTCCCAGTTTCTTGTTTAGATATGTGCAGATTGTATAATGAGATGTCTTAATAATGTAGGCATCAGTTGTTTTAAACTTGTTCTTTAATAAACTTTTTGCTGATAAGGGATGTTCTTTGTTGGTTTTCATTGTATACATATACAGAACAATAAGACTAGGGATCATGAATATTTGTGGCAGGGTATATAGTGAAGACAGCTCCAGATTTCGTAAGTATGAAAATAAATATTCATGATCAAAAATATATTTTGTTTAGTGTAGTCATGAATATACAATGTATTGTATCTCAAAGAACTTGAATAAGACTTGAAGTTGAATCATGAAGTATTGACTCATTTCATTGACTCATATCTTGTTTAATATGACCTTATAATGTACACTCACATGGAGAATTTAATCTGCTGTCATCCTGCCATCATAATCCCTGCATTTTGTTTTGTCTCTTTGTTCCTACATCACAGCTTAAGCAGCTTTGACAGTTAAGGAAGAACAGATCAACTCTGTTAACCTGAAGAAGTTGCCCAGAAACGTCGCGTTATACAATAAAGAAGTTGCCATACATATGCTGGTCTTATATATTCACCAACTTCTAAATGCCTCTCAAGAATCTGAACAGATCAAGTATTTAGAAACCTATTAGGTCTATTGTTTCAATACAGTTGCTAAATAAAACTTTCTGATCATCTAAAAATCCCATTTGCTCGGAAGACCTCAAATTATTTCTGTGTTATGACTGTCCTCACATTGTCAGTTATCAACCAATCAAAAACAGAAAGTATATTCCTGCTAAAACGTACTCCATGCATGCACAAGGGTTTTAAAAAAGTTCACTTCTTTTGTGTGTGTGTGCTAAAGGTGACAGAAAAATTGACAAAAATTGTTACATATTTGCACTTTTAATTGTTTTAAGGTTTTTACAGTTAAATTCTTACTCCCTATAATTTATTTGATACATATTCTATTTCTAAAAGATTTACAGAAGTAAAGTGATTTTGTGATTGTGCTGGTAATGTATCTTCCCCGACTTTGCCCAGACTGGATGTCTTCTCAAGGATCTTCAAAGATCTTGTTATAAATGCAGAGAAGTACTGTGTACAATGGGTTTCTAGTTGTCTGCAATCACACCCTTAGAGTTGAGTATGAACCAAGTTGGTTTTGTACATGTACCGGTAACTCTTTAAGGTATTCTCAATAAAGATATGGACGAATACCTATGTCATACACAAGAAAAGTGATGTCATCCGATGATCAGACTACTGGTTACTGGAGTGAGTGAGTAAGCTTAGTTTTACGCTGCACTCAGCAATATTCCAGCTATAGAAGTTTGTATCCTGTCCTTACAACGTCCAGTAACCAGTGAAGATCTGGGTTAGAATTGATCATGTTCTTTAGTAACCCGTGCTTGTCATAAGAGACTACTAACAGGATCGGGTGGTCAGGACTTGCTCATTTGGTTGACACATGTCATCGTATCCCATTTGTGTAGATCGATGCTCATAATGTTGATCACTGGAATATCTGGTCCAGGCTCGATTAGTTACAGACGCCATATAGCTGGAATATTGTTGAGTGCGGCATTAAACAACGAACCAAACCAAATCCTCCCATCCCTGGATATATGCATTGCTTATGTTTTGGCGGGTATATTTATTGGCTCACAGCTGACAGTGAAGAGGAGCATCGATTGAACATCCTAAGATTATATATGTTTACACAGGCTTATCTAGGTTTACAGATCAATAAAAATACTGCAAATGAAATTGGGTTTAACGTCGTGCTTGAGAATATTTCGCTCATATGACGACGTGCATGCGTGTGTATGTGCGGCTGCTTGTACTAGCCCAGACTTAAGCTGGTTTTATAGTGCTAGCTCACTGAGATACCATGCCGCAGTGAAGCATGAATACCCCACTCAGACACATTTTACTGACTCCGAGCCGACCAGTCCTTGTTGTACCCATTAATGCTGAGCGCCAGACAGGGACCAACAACACCATATTTTAACGTCTTTTGGTATGACGCGGTCGGGGATCGAACCCGCGACCTTCCGCTCTTCGGGCGGACGCCTAACCACTACACCACGGAGGCGGTCTACTGCAAATGAACTACAATGCCAAAACAATTATAGAGTGGTTGTACACACACAATGACAAATAGAATAAGAATATAAATGCAATTGTAATAGCAATAAAGACAGTGTTCATAATATTCACCTAGCTGGAACAAACATTTAAAAAGGTTCTAGTCTGGGAAGTTATCCTTGTGCAATTACTGGTCTTCTTGTAACATGAGATACCAGAGTAAGTCCCTTTACACACACACACCCACACACACACACACACATATACATACATATAAAGGTTCCCACAAGTTGCATTTCAGTAACACGCTGGGTTAAATATGTTTGGATATTCCAGACATTCTCAAAGCTTCCAGACCAATTAACCCGAGTGTAAATAATGTTATAACCATAGCCTACCACAGCCCTCTACTGAATTACAACAGTTTTACAATGCCACATAACTACTTTTCTACAGTTGTGCATTATGTTTTCCATATATACTCTATATATTGGAATTGACAGTAACAATGTGTCTTCATTCACAACTAAAACCACATGGGTGGGGTTGGGGGGTTCGATCCCCCCCTTTGAAAATGACTCAAGACCACATTGAAGATGGTTTTTTTGTGTTGGCAGAGCCAGGGGGTTGGGGGGTGTCGGTGCACCACCCCCCCAACAAAAAACAACAACAAAAAAAAAAACCTTGGCGCTGAAAGTTTGTTAAATGACCATTGAAACTCGGGTGAAAATGAAATGTGCACCCCTCCTTTTCTCAATAGTGTGCACACCCCCCTTTCTCAAAAAGCTGTATCCGCCCCTGATGTAAGAGGCGACTTTCGCAATATATTGTCATTTATCAGTTTTGTTTGATAGTTCAGTTATAAAATATAAGATGCAATGAATAGACATCAGTAATGCACATCAGTAGCAGTAATGCCAAACAACACCATTACTGCCTATTGTATTTTGTGTATAGTGTATTTACAGTTGTTATCAGTGCCCGTCCTTTCACCGAATTAACCAACCTTGACCCGGCAATATCTCGCATATCAACAACATTTAGTGGCGCTGGTTGCCGTCCTACCACGACATGCACACTATTCGCTGCATGACACAGCTTCTTTGCACATATCGACGTGGCTTGACTTTAGCATATCCACGCACAGAGTGATGGCGTCGTACAAAGGCATAGGTGTGATGTCGGGGACGTCCTTAGACGGCCTGGACATATGCTACGCGGAGTTCACAGGTGACATCGAGAACGATGTGTGGGGCTATCGAATAGAGCGAGCCGTCACTGTGCCCTATAGCGAGGAGTGGACGGACAAGCTGAGACGGGCGACAAAGCTGGCAGGAGTGGACCTCATAAAGCTCCATTTCGACTACGGCCACTTCCTAGGCGACGCTGTCAAACAGTTCATTGAGAAGGAGGGTTTGAAGGTGGACTTTGTGGCGTCTCACGGTCACACAGTTTTCCATCAGCCTGAGAGCAGTTTCACGTTCCAGCTCGGGGACGGCGAGACGACCTCCACGTACCTACGGTGTCCATTTGTGTGCAACTTCCGAGCCAAGGACCTGGCCCTCGGGGGTCAAGGGGCACCGCTCGTACCCTCAGGGGAAAAGTTTCTGTTCAGTCATACTGACTTGTGTATCAATCTTGGAGGTATCGCCAATGTTGGACAGAAGGGTAGGAAGGGCTTTGACATGTGTCCTTGCAATATTGTCTTGAATAAACTGGCCAAACAGTTCGACGAAACACGCGAGTACGATGTGGACGGTGAGATTGCGTCACGTGGGGTGGTTAAAGATAGTCTCCTGCAGCAGCTCGAGGGTCTGGAGTACTACGAGGAGCCGCCGCCTAAATCTCTGGGCATCGAATGGATCGACAGGGAGATATTCCCACTTCTAGATGTAAGACGCTTTTGTCATGTCATTATAACGTGTGATGCTAACAATTATTACTGTTTCTATGTGGCAAGGCGGCTTCTCTACCAATATTAGACCCGTGAAGATCCGGGTTAGAATTGATCTTCAGTAACCCATACTTGACGTAAGATAACGGGATCGGGTGATCAGGCTCGCTGACCTGGTCGTATCCCAACTGCGTGGATCGATGCTCATGCTGTTGATCACTGGATGGTCTGGTCCAGACTCGATTATGTACATACCGCCGGCATATAGCTGGAATATTGCTGAGTGCGGCGTAAATCTAAACTCACTCACTCTACCAAACTCTGCAGTTGTGGACAAATGTTTGATAGTCAAGCGAGTTTTCACACTGCACTGTTGTGTATAATACATTGACACTGTTACAACCTTATATAGCATTACAAAACAAGTTCTGGGGGTATTTTTGAAAAACAAAACGCCATTATTTGTTGTTTACGGTCACAGTTTGTCATTCTCCTATGTTCAACACAAGGGTTATAAACAATCAGCAACCAGAAGTATGGCCTTGTTATGGGGACAGTACAGCTGGATTATAGCCGTCAGTCTGTAGGTGTTGTGGACATTACAAGTAAAACATGTTCAGTTACTGAGCTAAAACAATGATCATTCAATGTTTAGCCCTACAGTCATGTCATAGGCAGTGATAGCTGGTTTGTACTGGATTCTCCGGTCAGAGTTACTGGCCTATGAGCACCATATCTCTGTTGAAATTTCACCAAACGTGAAAACTGGAACGAGGCGGGTACCATGTCTGTGTCCTGCCAGCTCATATGTTATTTTGTTTATCAACCTATCAGATAACGCCCACTCTGAGACAATGCATAAATACTAGGCACATAAAGAAACTGTGCATACAAAAATTTAAAATCTAAATTTATCAAACCTGTGTAGACACATAAGGATTTAAACTCAGAGATTAGTGACATGTATCCAACATGCATGCACGTGCCACGTTCCGTGACGGCAGTGGGTTCGTCCTTGAGACGTGCAATACGTTGTTGCACGTGCATTCCGGGAAAGAGAAACAGAGCAAATGAATGCCACACAATACTGTCACTTTGAAAAGCTCAACCCCTGCCCTTGCGATCGTTCAAAAAATTAAACGGCTATTGAAACGCATAGCATGCCAAGGCTCACGTCTGCACAACGTCATGAGGCCATTGGGATGGTCCGTGGGGTATTGTCTCAACGACAAGTGGCTGCACATTCCCACTGCCACCGGAACACCATTTCTGCACTGGTGAGACGCTACCAGAACACAAATGACGTCATCGATCGGCCACGTTCTGGACGTCCACGTGTAACAACTCCAAGACAGGACAGATGGGTAAGGGTGACGCCATAGGTTTCAGACTGCAGTGATGACTGCCCGAACCATCCCAGGACTTCCACCCCAACACAGTTCGACAACGTTTACGTCATCACGGGATCAGACCACGACGTCCCGCCATACAGCCAATCCTGACACAACGTCATCGACAAGCTCGCCGAATGTGGTGCCGAAATCATGCCCGCAGACCCTTGTTTTGGTGGAGAAATGTTGTTTTTACAGATGAGTCCAGGTTTAACATTTCCCATAGTGATGGACGTCAACGTGCCTATAGACGCGTGGGCGAACGTTATGCACAGGCCTGTGTCATGGAGAGGAATCGCGTTGGTGGTGGGTCCGTGATGATTTGGGGTGGAATAACAGCACGCCAAAGAACTCCTTTGGTGATTGTTCAGGGCAACTTAACGGGTATGGGCTACAGTGATCAGATTCTTCGACCTGTGGCAATTCCTTTTCTTCAACGTCATGGCCCTGGGTTAACATTCCAACAGGACAATGCCCGCCCTCATACGGAAAGGGTTGCTATGGATTTCTTGCAACACCACAACGTTGACTTACTGCCTTGGCCTGCACATTCACCGGATCTCTCCCCGATAGAGCATGTTTGGGACGAGATGGATCGACGTCTACGCCGTCTTCCTCATCCGCCAGATAACGTCCTTGACCTTGCAACAGAACTTGAGAGAATCTGGCGTGACATCCCACAAGCCTTCCTTGCACGTTTGATAGGCTCTATGCGTCGTCGATGCACTGCTGTTCTCAATGCCGATGGTGGACATATCCGTTATTGAGCTTGTGACATCATTGTGATTGACTTTTCAATTGAAATTCTCCCGACTTGTTATGGTCTCATGATCCCTCCATTAAAGTTTATATGTACCTTTGACATTGTTATCGTACTTAACAACTGGGATAATATTTTTACAATGCACAGTTTCTTTATGTGGCTAGTATATATGGCACCAATTACGATGGTTAGACCTGTGCTGGAAAGTACCACAGTATGAGAGCTGATTTTGGCCACTTTACTGTCCACATCCCCTATCCAATGTACTCTCCTTCTATTATATGTAGCCTTATAAACCACGGAGAAGCAGACGGTGGGCATCTTCACCACTAATGAATGTAAATCAAGACAAATCGTGCAAACGGGCCCACGACACGTAGGACAATGTGTGTATTGATTATCATGCGTTCTTGCTGCTAAATGTGTACATATCCAGCATATGTTTCAGGACAAACTGTACAGCGTACCTGACCTGCTGCGCACATTCGTAGAACATATCACCAACAGGATTGCGGGGGCCTGCGCCGACTGCTCTCAGAAGGATGAGGGTAGTGAGAAAACTGTTCTCATCACGGGAGGAGGGGCGTTTAATAAATTCCTCATGAGTCTACTGGAGAAGAAAATTAAACAGGGTGGATTTCAGGTCCAGATAACCGATGAAGACACGATTAACTTCAAAGAAGCTCTGGTCTTCGCTTTCCTTGGAATGAGAACATTGCTTGGTATGGACAACGTGATTTCTGTTGTGACCGGAAGTTCATGTGACAGCGTTTCCGGAAGTATTCACCGTTCAGTGCAACCATATACAGCCTCTCCCACCATCCAGGACAGGTTTAACTACCTGATGAAACGCAATACCGAGATATATATGACAAGGCGTATGAGCGGTGTTGAAAATGTCTAGCAGGTGCAATGTTGTGTCTCCCAGACTCCCAACACCGCTACCGGTGTAGTACTTAAGGCAGGTCGGTTCCATACACACCGGAACATGAAACTGTCCTGTGTCTCTTACACCGAAACCCACCCAATACCACTATTCCTCTCCTGTTCTCTGAAACAAGAAAATATACTGAGGGAAAAAATAGGGATCACATGAAAGCACAAGTGTTCCTTTAATTTTTTCCAGGTTTCTTCACAAGCTGTGGGATACAAAGTTTGTAAAGAAACCTTGGGAAAAAACATAAAGGAACACTTGTGCTTTTATGAGATCCCTTATTCTTTTTCCTCAGTATATATATATATATATATATAACAAAGACACCGTTGCACCGAGTCAGCTTATCGCGAATAGCTTGTTTTCACATATTTTTTATTTATTGCGTAGAAAAATTATTGAAAAAAATATAGGAAGGCGTATTTGTTCAAATACAAGACTGTTTGGGTGTTTTAATGTAAGTATAATCAGAAGAATTACATTCACTCCGACATTCTCTTGTGCACTGACTTCGTTTCGTTCGTCGCCTGGGTATATGTTGTACAGCGGAAGTCTTCTAAAATACGGATTTACTCATTCACTGAAGCATGCGGAATACAGCAGCCAATCGTTATCACCTGTTGTTGTATGGTTTACAGATAATATTAAACTCAGTTACGGAACCCAACTTCTTCTGTTTGCTTAATTACTATTTACACCTGCGAGTGTTTTACGCCTCAAACACGCTTCCGGTCCGTCTATCGACCAGACAATCCAGTGATTGACATTATAAGCATTGATCTATGCCGCAAGGGTATGATGACTCCCAGTCAATAATGTCACACCGACACATTGGCCATTTGGCCGGCTTTTACAATCATCACCGGTTGCTGGGGGCCATATTAAACCCAGACTAGCAACAGAACTGTATAATAACGGACAATAATTATGGGCGGCACTCATGTAATGGAAAATATATTGTCATGACGTGTATATTAACTGATTTGCGACATTGGATGTTAATGTTAACACCAATTGTGTCCTGTTATACATACGGTGCTTCATGGAATCTTTGGGATCCGGAACCCGATAGATGTCTAAATAGTTGGCTCTGCTGCAGACGATTGTGCAGTAATCTGATCGCAACGAAATACTGAAAGGTTTGGTGCCACAAATACTTGGTTTTGAATAAATGTATGAAGAGGTGAATGACTTAAACTCGTGAAATGACCCCTATGCAACCGCAAAAACAAGAAAATACGGGCTGTAATTCTGTGTGATATTTAATCTCGACAGCATATTCATCATTGGGTGTCTTGCAAACGTCTTCAATAGTGTTTTCAAATGAACTCAAGTTTTAAAACTTCAAAAACTAAGGAAACTAATTTAATTTGTTGTCAACATTTACAATACCTGCCTTAGCAACTGAACCCGGCAGCAAATGACAATGGCATCTCACAGTGTGAACCCCCAATTACTGGTGTAGCTGTGTATATGCCTCGGAGACAATATCTCAATGAACAGACAAAATGACGAATTGTAGGTGCAATAGAGTAAGTGAGGTCATGAGCCCAAATTACCGTAATGTCTGGCTGACCATCCGTCAAAACCCGGTTCTGTGCAGTCAGCCAGAAAGTGGGCCGTGCTGTGAAGTCTGTAACCATACCTGCTTAGGCGACAAACATTAGTCTGGACACCAGAGACATGCTCTCTTAATGTAGCAGGACTGCATCAACCACGCACATACCTGCTTAGGCGACAAACATTAGTCTGGACACCAGAGACATGCTCTCTTAATGTAGCAGGACTGCATCAACCACGCACATACCTGCTTAGGCGACAAACATTAGTCTGGACACCAGAGACATGATCTCTTAATGTAGCAGGACTGCGTCAACCACGCACATACCTGCTTAGGCGACAAACATTAGTCTGGACACCAGAGACATGATCTCTTAATGTAGCAGGACTGCGTCAACCACGCACATACCTGCTTAGGCGACAAACATTAGTCTGGACACCAGAGACATGCTCTCTTAATGTAGCAGGACTGCGTCAACCACGCACATACCTGCTTAGGCGACAAACATTAGTCTGGACACCAGAGACATGATCTCTTAATGTAGCAGGACTCCGTCAACCACGCACATACCTGCTTAGGCGACAAACATTAGTCTGGACACCAGAGACAAGCTCTCTTATGTAGCAGGACTGCATCAACCACGCACATACCTGCTTAGGCGACAAACATTAGTCTGGTTCACCAGAGACAAGCTCTCTTAATGTAGCAGGACTGCATCAACCACGCACATACCTGCTAGGGCGACAAACATTAGTCTGGACACCAGAGACAAGCTCTCTTAATGTAGCAGGACTGCACCAGCCACGCACATACCTGCTTAGGCGACAAACATTAGTCTGGACACCAGAGACAAGCTCTCTTAATGTAGCAGGACTGCATCAACCACGCACATACCTGCTTAGGCGACAAACATTAGTCTGGACACCAGAGACATGATCTCTTAATGTAGCAGGACTGCATCAACCACGCACATACCTGCTTAGGCGACAAACATTAGTCTGGACACCAGAGACAAGCTCTCTGATGTAGCAGGACTGCATCAACCAAGCACATACCTGCTTAGGCGACAAACATTAGTCTGGACACCAGAGACAAGCTCTCTTAATGTAGCAGGACTGCATCAACCACGCACATACCTGCTTAGGCGACAAACATTAGTCTGGATACCAGAGACAAGCTCTCTTAATGTAGCAGGACTGCATCAACCACGCACATACCTGCTTAGGCGACAAACATTAGTCTGGACACCAGAGACAAGCTCTCTTAATGTAGCAGGACTGCATCAACCACGCACATACCTGCTTAGGCGACAAACATTAGTCTGGACACCAGAGACATGCTCTCTTAATGTAGCAGGACTGCATCAACCACGCACATACCTGCTTAGGCGACAAACATTAGTCTGGACACCAGAGACAAGCTCTCTTATGTAGCAGGACTGCATCAACCACGCACATACCTGCTTAGGCGACAAACATTAGTCTGGACACCAGAGACATGCTCTCTTATGTAGCGGGACTGCATCAACCACGCACATACCTGCTTAGGCGACAAACATTAGTCTGGACACCAGAGACAAGCTCTCTTAATGTAGCAGGACTGCGTCAACCACGCACATACCTGCTTAGGCGACAAACATTAGTCTGGACACCAGAGACATGATCTCTTAATGTAGCAGGACTGCGTCAACCACGCACATACCTGCTTAGGCGACAAACATCAGTCTGGACACCAGAGACAAGCTCTCTTATGTAGAAGGACTGCATCAACCAAGCACATACCTGCTTAGGCGACAAACATTAGTCTGGACACCAGAGACATGATCTCTTAATGTAGCAGGACTGCGTCAACCACGCACATACCTGCTTAGGCGACAAACATTAGTCTGGACACCAGAGACAAGCACTCTTATGTAGCAGGACTGCATCAACCACGCACATACCTGCTTCGGCGACAAACATCAGTCTGGACACCACAGACATGCTCTCTTAATGTAGCAGGACTGCATCAACCAAGCACATACCTGCTTAGGCGACAAACATTAGTCTGGACACCAGAGACATGATCTCTTAATGTAGCAGGACTGCGTCAACCACGCACATACCTGCTTAGGCGACAAACATTAGTCTGGACACCAGAGACATGATCTCTTATGTAGCAGGACTGCATCAACCACGCACATACCTGCTAAGCCGACAAACATTAGTCTGGACACCAGAGACATGATCTCTTAATGTAGCAGGACTGCGTCAACCACGCACATACCTGCTTAGGCGACAAACATTAGTCTGGACACCAGAGACATGCTCTCTTAATGTAGCAGGACTGCGTCAACCACGCACATACCTGCTTAGGCGACAAACATTAGTCTGGACACCAGAGACAAGCTCTCTTAATGTAGCAGGACTGCATCAACCACGCACATACCTGCTTAGGCGACAACAAACATTAGTCTGGACACCAGAGACAAGCTCTCTTAATGTAGCAGGACTGCATCAACCACGCACATACCTGCTTAGGCGACAAACATTAGTCTGGACACCAGAGACAAGCTCTCTTAATGTAGCAGGACTGCATCAACCACGCACATACCTGCTTAGGCGACAAACATTAGTCTGGACACCAGAGACAAGCTCTCTTAATGTAGCAGGGCTACATCAACCACGCACATACCTGCTTAGGCGACAAACATTAGTCTGGACACCAGAGACATGCTCTCTTAATGTAGCAGGACTGCATCAACCACGCACATACCTGCTTAGGCGACAAACATTAGTCTGGACACCAGAGACAAGCTCTCTTATGTAGCAGGACTGCGTCAACCACGCACATACCTGCTTAGGCGACAAACATTAGTCTGGACACCAGAGACATGCTCTCTTATGTAGAAGGACTGCATCAACCAAGCACATACCTGCTTAGGCGACAAACATTAGTCTGGACACCAGAGACATGATCTCTTAATGTAGCAGGACTGCGTCAACCACGCACATACCTGCTTAGGCGACAAACATTAGTCTGGACACCAGAGACAAGCTCTCTTAATGTAGCAGGACTGCATCAACCACGCACATACCTGCTTAGGCGACAAACATCAGTCTGGACACCACAGACATGCTCTCTTAATGTAGAAGGACTGCATCAACCAAGCACATACCTGCTTAGGCGACAAACATTAGTCTGGACACCAGAGACATGATCTCTTAATGTAGCAGGACTGCATCAACCACGCACATACCTGCTTAGGCGACAAACATTAGTCTGGACACCAGAGACATGATCTCTTAATGTAGCAGGACTGCATCAACCACGCACATACCTGCTTAGGCGACAAACATTAGTCTGGACACCAGAGACATGATCTCTTAATGTAGCAGGACTGCGTCAACCACGCACATACCTGCTTAGGCGACAAACATTAGTCTGGACACCAGAGACAAGCTCTCTTATGTAGCAGGACTGCGTCAACCACGCACATACCTGCTTAGGCGACAAACATTAGTCTGGACACCAGAGACATGCTCTCTTAATGTAGCAGGACTGCGTCAACCACGCACATACCTGCTTAGGCGACAAACATTAGTCTGGACACCAGAGACAAGCTCTCTTATGTAGCAGGACTGCATCAACCACGCACATACCTGCTTAGGCGACAAACATCAGTCTGGACACCACAGACATGCTCTCTTAATGTAGCAGGACTGCATCAACCAAGCACATACCTGCTTAGGCGACAAACATTAGTCTGGACACCAGAGACATGATCTCTTAATGTAGCAGGACTGCATCAACCACGCACATACCTGCTTAGGTGACAAACATTAGTCTGGACACCAGAGACATGATCTCTTATGTAGCAGGACTGCATCAACCACGCACATACCTGCTAAGGCGACAAACATTAGTCTGGACACCAGAGACATGATCTCTTAATGTAGCAGGACTGCGTCAACCACGCACATACCTGCTTAGGCGACAAACATTAGTCTGGACACCAGAGACAAGCTCTCTTAATGTAGCAGGACTGCATCAACCACGCACATACCTGCTTAGGCGACAAACATTAGTCTGGACACCAGAGACAAGCTCTCTTAATGTAGC